TTTGTTCTCCCTGTCATTGTTTGATGTTTGTATGAAAGAGTCAACTGCTGAGATGTTCTTTGGTGCCTGTGCCCATGGTAAAGTCTGTACCCCTGGTGAAGTATTTTAGTGCCCCAAGCTTTAGGAAACACCCTTGTAGTTCCCAGGGGGTTGCTTGATCTCTACTCTCACTGAGGTTGAGGGAGTAGTAGCAAGGTAGTTCCTGGCTCCGTTGCAGGAGACTGAGAGGCTTTGCAAAGCCTCAGTAGAACTCTTGCTTCTCTGGCCACTAGGATGAGCTGCTGTTATGAGTAGGAGCTCTCCAAACTGGGTGGGCTGTTCACAGTGGAGGGGCCTAAATGCCTGTGTGCTACATCCTTGGGCTGGGATCTTTCCACCCTTATCCAGTGATAGAGATTTTCTGGGGGAAGGGGTGGATGCTCCACCAAATTGCCAGTCTTTGGACCCCCACAGCACACTCCTGTCAGTTCAATCCACATTTGCTCCCTCACCACCTGAGTCCAGGTCTCAAACCTCCCTAGGCCTGTGTGTCTGATCCACTAGTATGTGTCTTCATAAACTGAGAGTGGATAGTGAGTTCCAAAATTGTGCATTCCTATTGCACTACAAGTGCTCAGAGGGAGAGGAGTGGGTTCCCCTATCTGTGGGGACTTCAGCCTGTAGCACTTGCCTGCCAGAGAAAAATAGCAGCTCTCAAACTTCTCTTCTTGGCTCAAAGGGCACTCCCTACTGTAATGAACGGGGCGCGGGGGGGGGGGGGTGCGGGGCAGCACTCAGTCACCCAGCTCAGCTTTTCATCTCTGAATGCCATGCCCTTAGGGGGAAGGATATGCTCATCCAAGTCCCTGTTCCTGAGCACCCCACTACACTCTCCTGTCAGGTATGTCTGTGCGGGCTTCCTTGCCACCCAAAAACTGCCAGGGTGTGACCCTGTTAAATGCTGCCCAAATTGTATACCCTTGTTTCAGGACAGTACCTCAAGGGGAAGAAGTGTGGGTCTCACTCTCTGTGGAGACCTCAGCCTGCCAGAGAGAAACAGCCATGTATGAACTATGCTTGCTATAGTAATAGATACGGAGGGGCTGCAGCTACCTGTTAGCCTGAGCTCAATTTGCTTTCTTGGTTGCAGTAGATAGGGAAGATGCAGGGGAGGAAGTGTCTGGATGAGAGAAAACCAGGACTCAGGCCACTCATGGCACTCTTCCAGGGGGTGCCATTCGTGGAGTGCCCAAACTCCTGGGGCTCCCTAGTTCACCCTACTATTTCATATTTGCACTGTGCCTGGGCTGAAAAGCTTTCAGTAAACTTGGTATCCTACTGTTCACTGAAGGCATGTAGGAGGCAGAGGGAAATCCCACCCTCCCTTACCCTTTCATTCGGCTCTGAGCCTCTCCGGGTTGATCCTTGCCAATACCATCTCCTCTTTATCTTCTTTCTTCTCGGCTTTGCAATTTTTTCCATGGGATCCCCAGCCATCTCTGACATCTCTCTCGATAATCCACACCTGAGCTGCAAGTCTTTTCCCCTCTCCACTATCCAATATCCTGCCTTCCCGCCAGGACAGTCCAATAAGCAATGTCTCTAGTTGGGCACCTTGCCAGACTCCTCCAGATAAAGACAATTTTTGTTCAAATACCCTCAAAAGGTTCCTTTCAAAAGGTTCTCTCAGTGGTAGATGTCCTAACCTCAATCATAATTAATTATTTTGACCTGTTCTCAAATCTTACATGAATAGGGTTAAGCAGTGTTTAATCTTTTGTATCTGGCTTCTTCTGCTGGGTATAATTTTGTAAGTTTCTTCTATGTTATTGCATACAAAATATGAGCAAATAGAACCCAGTGATATATAACAGAAGTAATGCATCATAATACAGTAGCATTTGTACCATGAATAACAAAGTTGGCTTACCATTAAAAATTTAAAAGAAAATTACCACATTAAGGTAATAAAGGGGAAAAATCATATGACTATTTTAATGCATGCAGAAAAAGATTTCATAAAATTAAAAAAACTCAAATTTCAAAAGAAAATACATTTCATTGCTCATTTGTTTTATTACAAGATAGTTTGCTTTTATATAAATATGCTGTAATCTATGTAACCTTTATTCTGTTCAAAAAAATTTAGGATTTTTTACAAATGGGATTATTAAGAATAAATTAATTTTCTCATACACAGCAAAAGGTGGGCATGTACAATTATTTCTCTCAGCTGTATAATTAATAGTGAAATTGCCGGGTCATAGGAATACTTGGTTTTAACAATTTGTACTTCTACTACCAGTTCGTGACCATTGCAGTTGCTTCACATTTTCATCAATATTTGGCCTTGATAATCTTTTTATTTTTAGCTACTCTGGTACTTGTGTAGTAGTATCATATTATGCCTTGAAGTTTTATTTATCTGATATGTATGAATTTGAACAGGTTTTCATATGCTTATTGGTCTACTGGATATCCTTTTTGTGAAATGTCTATTCAAATTTTTCCCAAAGACTTCTTTGTATATTTTATATAAAATTATTCAAAATCTAAAGAGTATCCAAATTTACGTAAGTATGCATAATATCTGTAATATATGGAGAACTCCCACCGATCAATAATAAAAAGAAATCAGGATCTTTGAACTTAATATAAAATATATGGAGAATTATAAACATATATATATAATTTCTCTATATACATATATATCAAATAGATTATATATATGTGTTTATATTTTTGTGTGTATATATAGTAAATATATAGAGATATACATACACACATATATACATATTCATTTATTTTTCAAATTTAGGTCAAAAGCCCATGACTAATTGATTTTTGTTTTTGATACATTGTAGAAGACAAAGTACATTATTTTAAATTTCATACAGATAGACAATTTATGCAGCACTTCTTATTATAATCACTAGTAATACCTGGTTCTACTATGGAGTTCTACAATTTCTTTTGTTGATCCTGGATCCAGTATTATACTGTCTTAATTGTTATAGTTTTAAAGTAAGTCTTAAAATTTAGTTGATCAAGCCTTCCAAACTTCCTCTACCTCTTCAAAATAGTTTTGAATTTTCTAGGCATTTTACTTTTCCCTAAATTTTATAAATTTTAGAACAGATTTTCAATTTCCACCAGGAGAAAAAATAACCTGCTGAGATTTACAGTTTTGCACTGAATATATAAATCAATTTGGGAAGAAGTGAGATCTTGATAATATTGAATCTTCAAATGCATAAATTCAACATAGCTCTTCATTGACTTAGGTCTTACTTTTTAAAGATTTCACCTGTTTTATGGTTATTATTATAAAGACCTTCATATTTCGTTAAGTTCCCTTCTAAGTATTTATGTTGCTTTTATGTTATTGGGAGCATGTTTTAGATTCCTCTTTCTGTTTATTGTTAACAATATTAATATATAAAATTAATATTAATTTAATATTAATATATAAAACATTGTTTAGGTATCCAACAAACTTGCTGCATTCACAGTTATTAATTTTTATAGTATTTAAAATAGATTTTTCATGTTCACTCTTATGTTTTAGTTAAATAAAGATAGTTTTAGAAGAGGAAGATCTAAAACTATCTTTATTTAACTAAAACATAAGAGTGAACATTTTTAAGCTATTTTTCCATGCATGTAAATTGCCATACTTATTAGCATAAATTGTTTATGCTTGTCAATTATTATATTTTCAGTTTGTAGGATTTGTTAGTGATATCTCCTTTTAAAATTCCTAATATTGGTAATTTGTATTTTATCTCTAGCTTATGTATTTAAACACTCTTGCTAGCGTTAATGTTATCAATTTTTTTCAAATACCATTTTGATTTATTAATATTTTAAGCGATGACTTTTATTTTGTATTGATTTTTGCTGATGATTGTTTCTAATTCTTTTACTTGAGCTAGGCAAACATATTGGCAGAAAAGCTCAGATCACTGATTTTCAGATTTTCTTCCTTTGTAATATATGCACTAGACCCATAATAGTTCCTAGAGTTGCATACCACTTGACCTTTTGAGATGTCTTTTATTTAATTCAATTTGAAACATTTAAATTTTTTTTGCTGAGATTCCTTCATTGATTCATTGGTCAAATAGTTATATTGCTTAATTTCCTAACAGTTGCTACTTTTCAAACTATATGACTGTAATTTTTTTTAGTTTAATTATACTGTGGTTCTAGAACACTCTTCTGTCCAATTTCAGTACTCTAAATTTATTGAAAATTTGTCTCTTGCATATACTTTCATGTACACTAAAAGAAAATTTATATTCTGTAACTGTTTGATATAATGTTCTATTAATATAAATGTCAGTTCAATTTGGTTAACGTTTTATTCAAATCTTCTACATATTTACTGGTTATTTTATTTTATTGCTATTTTAAGCATTGCTAAAGATTTATTTTAAAATCTATCAAGAATTAGTATGAAATTGTATATATCTACTTCTAGTTCTATAGGAACTTTTTTTTTTTAAGAGTGGGAAATATTCTATTCTCGATCTTGGAAAATAAATTTGGGTAGAACAGCAACTACACCAAAGGTCTATTTATGAAGATATAATTCTTATTTTTAAACTGGAAAAATATGGTAATCAGAACATCAGTGTGAAAAAATTGTTCCCAAAAAGTAGGCACACACAGAGGCTGGGAGTAGATAAAGGAAGATGAGACCAAAGTCACAATGAATGTCAACAAGCAGCAGCACACCATTATGAAGAAGACATTAACCACATGTTACACTCTCTGGAAATTACTCAGGGAAAGTCCATTTCTAGGAACCAGTATCTCAATGAATTGTTCTTATTTCTTCTCCCACTGCTGTTATCTAGCATTTCTCTATTCATACAGAATAAAACTCTGATCATAAGTAGATTACCAGCTATCGTAGTACTGGAAAATAACTCAAATATCACACACAACTGTGGACGGGTTAACAAAGACAATGTAAGGAACAAGCACAGAAACAATTTAGAGTCTTGGTCACTCACATTTTCCGAACTTTCTTCTTTCAGCTGCTCAAAAATCCTAGATGGCACTGGAGTTACTTCAGGGATGGGCCTTTTCTTCAGTTTTTTACCATTCTTCCTTGAAAATCTTCATGAGTCATTTGGCCATCCATTCCACTCACAAGTAGCTGACACGTTATTATTTACTTCTGGAGCGACTGCCACTCCGCAGGCTTTACGGAGACTCCTTGAAGGAGAATAAGCCTGGCCCGCTGGTCTCTATTGAGGACATGCTGAAACTAAGACTACCTCACATTAAAACGTGACGTAAAAGCCAAGCGTGCAGGATGCCTGGCTCCTCCCCTCATCCGGAAACCGACTGGCCAACAGGAAGTGACGGAGGCAGAGGCCGCCAGGTAACTGGTTCCCGCGCTCCCGGCGGGAAGCCAGTGGAAACCAACTGGGAGCGGAGCAGTGCAGGCCGCGTGCGCCCTCGGAGCAAACAGCGTGAGTGGCCTCACGCCCAGTGCCTCCCGGCCCATACTCACTGGCCTCCACAACTGTCAAAACTTTACAATTTTTTTTTTTTCTGGAAACTCCAGTATTCTATTCTTGCTGACATCGAGTTCCTCGAGATTAGTAGTGGATGCTGGTAACATTGTTAAATCATTGTCAGGCAAACTCGGTGTAGAGACTGACAGCTCTATAGAATTTTGCTTTAAGTAGTTTGAAGTATATTCTTAGGCTCATATAAATTTAGGATTACTGTATTTTCCTGTTGAATTGACCATTCCATCTTCATGCATCATGCCTTGTTTTTTGTTTTTTTGGGTTTTTTTCCACTAATTATAGTACTTCAAACTATTTTCTCTAATACTGCCTAGCTCAGACTGACTTTATTTTGACTTAAATATCTCTTTATCCATTCTTTACTCTTTTTTTTTTTTCCTCACTCTTGCCCAGGCTAGAGTGCCATGGCGTCAGCCTAGCTCACAGCAACCTCAGACTCCTGGGCTCAAGCAATCCTCCTGCCTCAGCCTCCTTAGTAGCTGGGACTACAGGCATGTGCCACCATGCCCGGCTGATTTTTCCTATATATTTTTAGTTGTCCAACTAATTTCTTTATATTTTTAATAGAGACGGGGGTCTCGCTCTTGCTCAGGCTGGTCTCCAACTCCTGAGCTCAAACGATACTCCTGCCTTGGCCTTCAAGAGTGCTAGGATTATCCATTCTTTAGTGTTAACTGTTTACGTCTTTATATTTCAATTGAGTTCCTTGTAAATTTTTAGTTAGATATATTTTTTCAAATTGGTTCTTTCTTTGTTGGTATGAATTTATGATTTAGATGAGTTTAAGTCTATCATCTTTCTATATTTTTTCTGTATATCTCAGCCATAAAATCCTTACTTTATATTTATGGCTGTCGTGTATTCATATTTATCCCCTATATCATGGTTCTGCCTAAATTAGTCAGTAATTATTCTCTCCTTGCTGCCGAGTGTAAGGTATCCAATCAGAGATTATATTGCCTATTTGGCCAGTTATGGCTATGAGATCCATGACATGAAGCTCATGGTACAGCTCACGGGAAATTAGACAAAATGATAGGTAAAATGTGTGGGCTGTCTGCAGCTTAATACATACACGCATACATATATTCATAAAGTCAATTTAACTGGACTTAGTCCCATTTTCCTTTTTATATTCCAAAATATGAATGAGTCAATATCCCATATTTATCTAGGTAAATGAGGGCAATGTTCCAGAGAATGTCAAAGCAACAAGTTAGATAGAACCCAAGTCCTGGACTCATTCCAGCAGCCCTACCAGCTTAATTTGGCCACAAAAATATGTGAAAAAATATACATACTTCCGATATATGTAAGTCGCTGTATTTTGAAGGGTTTTTGGTTTTGGCCATTTTGATCTTAATTTTACACTAATAATACCACCAACGTATAGTCATTTGGAAGGATTATTTAGAATTAGGCATATTAGAAACTATCATGGATTGAAAGATAATTATGAGGTGGTTATTATATATAGAAACATATTCAATATATAGAACTTTTATAAATTTTGACTGACAAGGTTGTAATACCTACTTTTTTTGTTGCAGTAAGTATACTTTGTAAAACTAAAAAAAAATCCTCCTACCTATTTTACAATAAAAAGATAATGATAGCTTTCAAATAACAGAAATATAATGTTCCCTTAAACAGTCCTGTTCTTTGGATATGTCATACGGACTGGCTTATCTCCAAGGTATGCTTGAGATTCTATCCAATGTTTCCGTATTCCAGTTAAGCTTGGCTTTTCCAGATACCTCTTGTCCAACCAGTATATAACTTAAATTTGCTGAGCAAATGTATTATGTGCTAGACAAATCAACTAACAGGTTACTAGAGGAGAGGTTTACCTTCATATTTTGTCATTTTTTTCCTCTCTTTAAAATTTTTGTATTGGCTGGTTTGGGTATTAGAATAATACTAAGATGAGTTGGGAAGTATTCTCTCTTCTATTTTCTGGAAAAGTTTATGGATAATTGGTGTTCACTTAGGTTTAGATGTTTCTAAATTTCTTCAGTGAAACCAACTTGGTCTGGAGGTTTATTTTTTGAGAGCTTTTAAATTATGAATTTTGTTTCTTTATTGGTTATAGGACTATGCAAATTACTTCATCTTGGTTGACTTTTGAAATTTTTCCTTTCTAAGGAATTGACTCATTTTTTTAAAAAATTTATTTGCGTAAAGTTGTATTCATAGTATTTCTATATTATCTTCTTAATGGTTGCTGAATATATAGTAATATCTCATATTCGATTTCTGGTACTGGTGATTTCTTTCTTTTCTCTTTATATTTTGTGAGTCTTCGTACATGTTAATCTATTTTATTTTATTATTTTAAGAATCAACATTTTCTTCCATTGATTTTCTAATTTTTGTTCCCATTTTAACTTTATTCATTTGTGTTCTTACTTTGATTAGTTCTTTTCTCTGCTTGCATTGGGTTTATTTTCCTCTTCTTTTTCTATTTCTTGAGGTAGAAGCTTAAGTTATTTATTCTCAGTCATTCCTTATTTCTAATGTAAGCACTTAGTGGTTATAACTTGCAATCTCAGCATTGATTAGATGCATTTCATGTATTTGTATATGCCATATTTATATTTTAATTTAGTTTTATGTATTTTAAATTTTTTCTTTGAGGCTTTAACTCTGACTGATAGGTTACTTACACTTATGTTTGATGATATTCATATGTTTAAAGATTATTCTGTTAATTTGCTGTTATTGATTTCTAGCTTGATTTCATTGTGAAAATAGTTCATTCTGTCTGGTTTCAATTATTTTAAGTTTGTTGAGGTTTGTTTTATGACCCAGCATATGGTCTATCTTGGTGAATGTTCTATGAGCACTTTAAAGAGTACATACTACTGCTACTGGGGGGATGTTTTAAATATATCAGTTATATCTGCTGGTTGATAGCATTGTTCAGATTTTTTATGTCCTGTTGATTATCTGCTACTTGTACCAGTTCCTAAAAATAAGATGTTGAAATCTTTAATGATGATCGTGAATTTGTCTATTTCTTTTTTCACTGCTCTCAGTTTTTGCTTGATGTATTTTAAGGCCCTGTTGTTTGGACCGTACACATTTAGGATTTAGTATCATCATGCAAGGATCTTAAAACTTTTATCCTTTTACCTCTTTATCGCTATGCAATTCACATCTTTGTGTCTACTAATTTTATTTTCTCCATAGCCTACAATAGTTAAATTTTAATATAAACACTCACTCTTATTTCTTTAATTAACATTTGCATAGTAAAACTTTTTTCATTCTTTTACTTTCAACCTACTTTTGTCTTTTAATTTGAAGTGAGTTTCTTGTAAAAAGTGTATAAATTAGATCATGTCTTTTATCCACTCTCCTAATCCCAATCTGTTGATTGCTATATTTAGACCACTTACATTTAAGATAATTTTTGATAAGTTATCACCTAAGTCTGACATTTTATTATTTGTTTTATTTTGTTTCCTTTCTTTTTCTTTTTTTATTTTTTTTGGTTTTGCGTCTAGTTCTTGTCCCTAAATCCATTTTTTTCTTATTTTTTTTAATTTCAGCATATTATTGGGGTACAGATTTTAAGGTTTCAATAAATGCCCATTTCTCCCCCTCCCCCCACAAGTCTGAGTCTCCAGCATGACCATCCCCCAGATGGTGCACATCTCACTCATATATGTATATACCCCCCTCCCACCTGCCAATACCCCATTACTTTAGTACCTATGTGAACACTTAGGTGCTGTTCAGTTAATACCAATTTGCTGGTGAGTATATGTGGTGCTTGTTTTTCCATTCTTGAGAAACTTCATTTAATAGTATGGGTTCCAGCTCTAACCAGGAAAATATAAGATGTGCTATATCACCATTGTTTCTTAGAGCTGAATAGTACTCCATGGTATACATATACCACATTATATTAATCCATTCTTAGATTGATGGGCACTTGGGCTGTTTCCACAGCCATGAAATTATGAATTGTGCTGCTATAAACATTTGAGTGCAGGTGTCATTTTTGTGGAGTGTCATTTTGGATCTTTTTTGGAGTGGATCTTTTGGGTAGATGCCCGGCAATGGGATTGCTGGATCAAATGGTAGATTCACTTGTATCGCTTAAAGATATTTCCATATTGCTTTCCACAGAGGTTGAACTAGTTTGCAGTCCCACCAGCAGTGTAGGAGTGTTCCTATCTCTCCACATCCAGGCCAGCAATTTAATTGTCCGATAACTTTTGGTAAAAAGCATTCCACTGATTAAAATGATATCCATTGGTTTGAATTTGCTTCCCCTATATTACAGAATTACATTTATTCAATTTTGTTGGCCATTCTGATCTCTCTTTAGAAACAGTTATGCAGCCTTTGCCCACTTTTAATGGGTTATTGATTTTTTTCTCCTGAATTTTCATGTTCTAAATATTCTATTATCAGTCCCTTATCGGAGCATACGATCAAAAAATTTTCTCCCATTCTGAGGGTAGTTGTAATGTACTATCATACTATCTGTGGGCTGTGGCAGAAGCTTTGAGTTGATCATGTCCCATTTTATTATTTTGTTTGCTGCTGTGATGCCCTTGGGGACTTCTTCATAAACCTTGCTCAAGGCCATGTCTAGGAGCAGTGTTCCAACTTTTCCTCTAGAGTGTTAATAGTTCATATCTTAGGTAAGTCTGAGTTACCAGCTTGAGTGGTTTTGTAGAGGTGAAAGTGTGGGTCCTGTTCAGTCTCTAGCAGTGGGCTGATCCAGTTTTCCAACACCATCTATATGAAAAGGATCTTTTCCCCAGCGGTA